TTATATTAAAATATTCCCTGGTAGAGACATTAACCTTGGACCATCAATTACATTTGTGAAAGCACGTTTGACCGGATTGTTTTTTAAATAAAATCCATATTGAATTCTTCAATCCAGACTAATCCTCGAGTTATGAAGAAATTCATAGCTTTTAACCACTTAAAGTCACAATTGGCGAACCATAATTAAATAAGTGAAAAGATTCAAATTTTTAGATTTTTTTTTGAAAAATGACATTTTTGAAATGCCATTTTTCAAAAATCTTAAATTTCTAAAATAAATTCAAAAATACCACTAACATTATTATTTATTTTTCTTTAACATTTTCATTTCAAAAATGCCACATTTCTTAAAAAAAACTCAAAAATTTTATTCATATTATATTAGTTTCTCAAAATATTATCTATATCCTCTATGTATTAAAGGAGAAGCATTTTTGGATTAATTTGCTTAAGTGTCAAGCTCTCAAATTTTTAGAATTTTTAATTAAGAACTAAGTCCTATTATTAATTCTCTACTATACTGTTATTCAAACATTCCACAATCCTATTAATTTTCTACTATACTATTATCCAAACACTACACAATCACAGAATCTTTTCCAACTAAAACAATTTTTTTATTTGTTTAAAAAATGAAAATAAAAGAAAGTTTACTATTAAAATTCACTTGCTCTTATAATTTACCTTAAAACTATAAAATTCAATTCATATTTGTAATATTTTATTTTGTATATTTGATACATAACCCATATTTTTGAAATAATAATATTTTTTCTAATAACTATAGATGATTTCTAAACTAAAACTATATTAGTTTTACTCGCGTATCACATTATTCCGCATATAACGCGGATAACTATCTAGTTTGGATTAATTATGTTATGTTAGGGTCTAGATTTTAGGGTTTATGGTTTATTAGGGTCCATTTTTAAAAGTTTAAGATTTGTTTTTCTTTTTTAATTTGTGACATTTTCCAAATTTTCCCAAATTTTTATACCCAACTATCATAATGAATCCTCAAATCGGATAGGTTTCATAGTCATTCATTTAGCTTTTTAAGAAACTGTTGTTTTTAGAGAACAAAATAAGCGGTTTCATCACTTGAATACCGCATATAAATTATGAATGAAAACACTACGATGCAGGGCGGGTAGGTGCGAAATGGTACAAATAGTGACAAA